TGGCAGCTATTTCATTATTTCTGTGTTGTTCGCTCGAAATGTCTTTAAAAACATGCCAAAACAAATTGTATTTAAACAATATGCCGTGTAGGCAATAATACGTTATTTTAACAATTCGTATTTAAGTGATTATGAATGTATAAATGTATAAATGACAAATAAAAATACAGAAATACAAAAATATATTTATAAAAAACCGGTACGTAAACAGCACTACAAAAAAGATGTCATTGTTGGCATTGTGGCAAGTATGTAATAAATATAAGCTTCGATCATATCATAAGTTAATTTGGTCGTTTTGTGTGCTAATTGACATTTAAATCTATGTTAATTCTATGTTAATAAAAATCTTTAGATTTCAAAATTGTTTACTGTACAACTATAATAATAATAATAACATTTGTTGGAAATACAGTTTTTGATTGAGTATATTCGCACATCTAAGCCCATAGCTGAAGCCATTCGGAGCTAAGAAGGCGACAAGGAGACTTTTTATGGATGCCTGCAGCCAGAATTGTATCGAATGCAAAAAATGTTGGACTTATTAAAGCAAGAAAATCCAGTATTACGGTTTGAAAAATATAAGTTGCATGACACTCGTGCCAAAGACAGCATTTTAGCAGCTGTGTCATATCCCTTCTTCAAGTTTAAGTGGGTACCAAGAGCTGAAAAGGAGTATGTGAAGGAATTGTTTATTGCGGAAGTGCGAATATTCAAACACGACGATTTTAAAAGTGTACACCCACAAACATCAACATTGAAAAAGAAGCAAAAAAGTGAGTCTTACTATATGTTCAACGATTCAGACTCCTCGGCAACCTCTACGGATGGCAACAGCAGCACCTGCACTGATTTGGAGACCCTCCAATATTTAGAGATGAAGACACAAGTCTGAATATCCTCAACAAATTATCACATAGTTGGATAACTATATAAAAAGTGTTTTTACGGTACAACACTTGTCTCCCGAGTTCGGCACCAGTAGAAAGGCTATTTTCGTATCGTAGTATGATTATGCGTCCACACAGACGCAACATGTCAGATGCTCTTTTTGAAGAGCTTGTGATTTTAAAATCTTTAATAAATAAAGAAAACCAGTAATTTTACCATAAAGTATTTTGAAAATACATATTTTGTATTTAGTATTTAAATACAAACGGCATTTTGTATCTTGCATTTGAAATACTATATTAAAAAAGTATTTGCATTTTGTATTTAAATACTTTTCGAAAAGTATTTTGTACATCTCTGCCCCCATGTATGTAGTTTTCGAGTTATAATTTTTTAATGATTTTTTTTCGTAATTTTCATCTAACATCAGTTTTCGATTTTTTTCTCATTCTGTTGGACGATTCTGGTTCAGTTTTTTTGTGATAACTGAATAACATAGTCTAACCTAGCACCCTAAAACTTATGGTTTATCTAGGCATTGCAGAATTTACTTAGAATTTGTTCGAAAGTTTAAAATTACGATTTGAGCTCAGTACACACAAATTTTCAAAGTATCAAAAAAATGTAAATGGGGGTTTTGAGTTCAAAGTGCTTTTAGAAACTTCCTGAAATATTAAACTTTAAAACAAGGCCAAATAAAGATAGGGTTAATACGGGTTTATTTTCTGTAACTGACCTTCAAAGTAAATTAAGGCATTTTTCAAGGAAAAAAAATCTTTTTTTCTTCAGTTATGATGGATTTGAGCAAAACACAGTTGTTAATGACCTAAATTCTACTACTACTTACTTACTTGTGTTTACTTCCTCGTCTTGTTCTGCCGTTTTTCCCCGACCACTATTTGCCTGCTGATACCGCCGCTGCTTACTTGTTTGACCCCTGCTTGTTACTGGATTCCGTAGTGCCTAACGATTTGGACTGTAGTTACTTGGAAGTGTTAGTGATGCCCTACACTCTGAGTGAATATGCAGAAATGCATTATTTCTACGGCGTTGCACAAGGCAACGGTCGTGAAGCAGCAAGACTCTACAGAGATCAACTTCAACGCCGAGGCGGAGCGCAACCTGATCATTACCCTGACTATCGTGTGTTCATTAATACTCACAATACGTTAATAGCAGGCCGCATTCCTGGCCAACGTGGCTGTGAAGGCATTCAGAGGGTTGATCACGAACGCAAGGAAATCGTACTGGAAGAAGTGCAACGCAATAGTAGTACAACTACGAGACCATTAGCTCGTAACCTTGACATACCAAGATCTTCAATACAGGATATTTTGCGTGAGGAATCATTTCACGCCTACCACATACAAAAAGTACAAGCGTTGCAGCCTTCAGTTTATCAATTGAGAGTCGAGTTCTGTAGAACTATGTTGCAGAAAGAGGAAGAAGATCCCGGATACTTTAATAAAATCTTGTGGACCGAGGAGTCAAGATTTGAGCGAACTGGGGTTTTCAATGTCCACAATTTTCACATTTGGGCCGTCGAAAATCCACATGCCGCCAGACCATCATCATTATAACATCGTTTTAGCGTTGACATGTGGTCTGGTGTTTTGAATGTCGAATTAATAGGCGCATTTGAACTGCCATCGAGATTAGACGGCGAGCTACAAAAGTTTTTTAGAAGACAATCTACCCATATTATTGGAAGATGTAAATCTTGAATTAAGAAGAACGATGGTGTTGGTGATGTATTTAGACCAGACCTACCCCAACAGGTGGATCGGACGCGAAGGCCAATTGCCTGGCCACCACGCTCGCCTGACCTCAACCCTATTGATTTTTTTATCTGGGGCTACTTTAAAGAAATTGCGTACGCCAGAGAAGCTTCGAGTGAAGAACAGCAGCAAAAATTCGCGAAGCTGAAACCACTGTGAAAAATAACCGTGAAACTTTTAGGCACCTAAAACATATTTTTTTGCGCAGATGTAGATTGTGTATTTCTATGGGAGGGCAAAATTTGCTTTAAATAAATGTATTTCGTTCACAGTTAACTGCGTTTTACTCAAATCCATCATATAACTAACATAACTCATAGAAAGTCAAAGATTTAAATAAAATAAAATAATTCCTTTGAAAATGCCTTAATTTACTTTGAAGGTCAGTTACAGAAAATGAACCCCCATTAACCCTTTCTTTATTTGGCCTTGTTTGAAAGTTTAATGTCTTAGGAAGTTTCTGAAAGCACTTTGAACTCCAAATCCCCCCCCCCCCCATAAACATTTTTTTTTTGATACTTTGAAAATTTGTGTGTACTGAGCTCAAATCGTAATTTTGAACTTTCGAACAAATTCTAAGTGAATTCTGCAATGCCTAGATAAACTATAAGTTTTAGGGTGATAGGTTAGACTATGTTAGTCAGTTATTACAAAAAAACTGAACCAGAAACGTCCAACAGAGAAAAAAATCGAAAACGGATGTTAGGTGAAAATTATGAAAAAATCAATAAAAAATTAAAACTCGAAAAGTTAGTAAAATCGTAGAACACATGGGGGTGATTTGGATACTCCTCATCAAAAAGTATCTAAATTTTACTCTTGAACGTCAACTCCCTGGCCACCCTGTATATATAAGTATATTTTTACAATATAACTAGATCTTGAATTGCACTCATTTGATTGCACAGGGAACTTCCCGCTTTTTTAATTTAAAATTACCCCGAATTTGATACGTTATTTATGTTTTCAAATATAAAACCAATAACTTTATATCTTTTAAATAGTAAATAGTTTGATGAAAAAGCAGATTTGGTAAAATTTGCTACCTGACAGACAAAGTCGCATGCAAAAGCTAGTTGTTAGTAAAAGATCCAATCACGAAGGAAACTTTTATGATTGTATTTTTCCCTTCTTGGAAAAGGCAAGGCCATGCAGCCATCGTCTTTTTTTTTCTACATTAGAATGTGGCTGTACCGCTTTCCAATGTTTCTTGGATTGTTTGGCACGAAATATATCGAGTCAGCTATCTCGATAAGCTTCTGTGAGTTAGTAAACACTACAATAAATTGCTCACATCCACTTGACCAGAATAGCGTATATTTTTAAGATTACACTAATTCTTTAGGTGCGCATGCGGTTATAAAACAATATAACACAACTTTTATTTCACGAATATTTTATGAACAAGTCACAGTGTAAACCGCGCTACTATTATATTCTGTGACCGCGCGCTAGCCCGCAATTAGAAAAAAAGTTTTTGTAAAAATAAAACGCACTAAATTTATTCCGCCTTCGTCCTTAATTGTTAACTCAAGTTTGAACAATGGTGTCGATCTTGGCTTGATTCTCGAAACTTAAAACTAAATTAAACATCAATCTCTCCTTTTCATTCTATATAAAGTATGACAAGGTTGTCATACTTGAATTGGTTTAGAGAATCATGCCAGAATCGACACCAATGTGTGTCTTCCTCTAAAAATGTTATTAGGTACAAAAGCCCGCGAACAATATATAAAAGCATATTATGAAAATTTCATCCCTTGAAAAATTGCAAGAAAGGTGAAATCTATTTCAGAAAATGTGTTTTTGACCTATTTTCAAGAGAGTATTGTTTTTCTTGTATGTAAATAAGCCTTGCGCGTTATAGTTCACTGAGATGAAAAGGAAGATACGAATCTTTTCGGTACAACGAACGGCATCTTTCATTTAACTCACTAGTTCATTTAATTCAAAATTTTGGTGTAGTTCAATGTTTCATCTAGTTCAATATTTTCTTTAGGCATCTACTTCATTTCATCTAGTTCATTTAGTTCAAAGTTTCATCTAGTTCACTATTTTCTTAAGGTCGCGGTCGGCACTTCCTAAAGATTGAACTTGCCAGCTAGTTCAAATCAGCCCAAAATATCAAATAAACAATTTTATTCACCTGTTTCAATTAAATCACAACTGAAATTATTACTGGAAAGATGGGAATTCCAGAAATAATTTCTCGAAATGATTTTAATCTTTGTCTTATTTGTGATAAAGAGGACAATCGTTTAAGTGAATTTTACTCTTTGGGTAACTTCATGTGTTGCTGACTGTACTTACCTAAAATATACTCAACTCACACTGAAATATACTTTAAAAGTTATTTCTGCAAAATGTGCCCTATCATCAAATTCATAAAGAGCCTTTTGCTTCCTTCGGGTAGACGAACGATTGTTTTTTTTTTTTAGTGTGTATGCTATTAGTAGCAGATGACCTTTACAGCGTCACCAGATTTGAACTAACAGGACCGAGTGATAAATAAGGAAGATGAGGTGAACCAGAGATACAGTATGAAAGAAAGTGAACTAGATATAAACTTGTCAGTGTCTTAATTCATTCTTATCTTCCTTTCGTGAACTACTCAAGTCTCATGTAAATAAACAAAAGTTCTTTTCTTACATATTCGTAGTTGCATTTACTTAATACTTATTTTCTGATAGAGGTCGATAAAAGTAGATTTACCACCTCGAGAGCAACAATATTTTTAAATTGTTATTTGCTCCCTTAGTAAACAATCTACTATTAACACACACGTTGTTGTTATTTTCTAATTATTATACTGTTAGAACAAGAAATTCTAAAGTAACGAAACTAACTCTTAAAACCTTTATAATTATACCAACTAAACCTGAAAATATGGCCAATAACAATATATACATTTATATATAAACATACATACATACATACAGTAAAATTAAACACATAAAAAAATACTCACAACATATTTAACAGTTTTGTCAACCGATGTGTAGGTACTAATAAAGTTTGTATGTGCTATGTCACTTGTTTTCTTTGCTTGAAAACAACAAATTCTTAAAGTATCGGTGATACCTACTCATGGCATTCAGAATTCCAAGATGTCAATCATTTTTTGTAAAGATATGATATTAGTTACATAGCAGTTAAAACAATTTGGCATTTGATTTACGACTGGCGGGAAATGATTTCACATAGAAGGAATTTATCTTTTGTCATATTTTAATTTAACAGTGGGCGTTACTGTAACTTCATGTTTTAAAGTAACTTTGGGAATGTTCGCTTCAGTTGTCGTTATAATTTGAAACGGAACAGGTAAAAAGTGAAAAAGCTTTACAGTGATATTTCATAATTTATTTGATTTGACTTCATTACAGCGACGCAATTTGTTTCTTTCAAGGTAAGTACATAGTTTAGAAATAGAAACTTAATTTTCATGTTATCAACGAGTTAGTTATATTTACATTTACTAAAGACTTTAGCGCTGTATAAAAGTAATAACTTCGGATTGAAATAGGTATTATTATATAAAATCTTAATAATTTCACAACATCCTCTCCTATACATTCTGTATAGAGCATAACAAGGATACACTGTAATTAAAATTATTTTTAGGTTTAGTGAATCCTGTCAGAATCGGACCCAGTATGTTTATAAAAGTGAACCTTGCAATAAAATTTTAAGTGAAGTACATGAAAGTTAAATATGATGTATTTTTACTATGTATTACTAAAATTATTAAAACTACTATGTATTATTAAAACTATGTATTTTTGCTTTTTATGTGTGTGTTATGTGTTGTCAGCAATAAAATCATTTTTCTTTCTTTTTATGTGAATGTAGGTAATTTATATACATTCTTTGTATTTTACTATCCATATGGACCTTGTTTTATTAAATTCACCTCCATGGCATAATGTATTTTGATTCAGCGATTTAAGTAATAATTTAATACTTTTTTATTATATTTATAATAAAAATTGGTATTTAATCCAGTTTAATTGTTATTAAACCATACACGACGCTGTATTCTTACAATGTGGGACAAAAAATAGTTGTGTTCGTTAGCTTTACACTGCTCACTATGGGAACGTAACACAAACTTTTTTAACGTATTTATAGCTGGCCAGCTAATTAAAGACACTCGATTTGCTTAGAAGAAATAGAAAAAGATATAGTTATTATTGAAGTTATCTTTATTACACAATATTCCTAACACATTTAGAAAACTTTCCGGTATGTATCAATATTTGATCGCATGTCCTTTGGTAGAAATGACAGCACGACATCTCTTGGGCATGGGAGCGATAAATTTTTTACAAGCTTCCACCGGAATTTGCTTCCAAGCTTCTCTAAACGCTGTGTAAAGTTGATCGATGTTTGATGTCTGTTTTGTCGCCACTGTCTTCTTCACCTGGTACCAAAAATTTTCTATTGGGTTTAAATCAGGACTACACGGGCGCCAATCCAAAACTGTCACAGACTTGTCCCTAAAAAGTCTTATTACTTTTGTAGTGTGTTTCGGATCATTATCCTGTTGGAAAGTCCAAATGACCGGTAAAGTTTGCTCGGCATAGGGCAGCATGGCTTGCTCTAAAATATACTTGTGAAATTTATCCATGTTGCCTTCTATTTTCCTGACAGGTCCAACACAAAGTCCTGAGAAACAGCCCCAAACTTTGATATTTCTGCCCCCATGTTTAACTACTTTCTTGGTATACTTTGGATCCATTCCTTTGTTCGGGAGGCGTCTAACATATTGTTTTCCGACAGAATTAATCCTTATTATTTTTTGTTTCATCAGAGAAAAGCACATGTTTCCATTCTCGTTTAGTCCAGTGTACATAATTTTTAGCAAATGCTAATCTTGCCTTATCATTTTGCTTTTTCAAAAGTGGCACCTTCCGCACAAGTTTACCTTACATAGTCTCCGTCTAATGTACATTTCATGTCGATACATTACGATATATTATTATAATACAAGTAATTATTTAATTGAGGTATAGAGTAGTGTATCCAAAGTTTGAGATATATTTTGTTGAAACGCAGTTAATTAATTGTTTATATGTTACTACTGACCCAGCGAACTTCGTACCGCCATAAAAATAGGGGCAGGTGGTAGAACAGAAAATTTAGAGTTGTATGTATTTTTTAATACCACATTATAAAAAAAAGCCCAAAAAAATATTTGGGGTATGTAACGCAGTGTTCTATCAATTTCCTGGGATAACATTCCTCCTAAACCATACGAGAACACTACGTTACAATACCCAATAGTTTGAATTTTGGCACGAAGGCGCATTGTAGGTTTCAGAACACTACGTTACAGGTGGACAACCATTATCACATATGGATGAAAAATACATAGTAGCCGATTCTCAGACCCACGGAATATGCATATAAAAATTCATAAAAATCGGTCAGGCCGTTTCCGAGTAGTATGGTTGCTAACATTGTGACACGAGAATTTTATATATAAGCTTTACCTGATTACAAAATATTTGCCACTACAAATCACTTAAAATACTAAATATGAAAAAACTCAAAGATGTTTATTATCGAATAAGTGGACGGGCAAATAAAAGCGAGCCTTGCAAGTAGAAATAAAATATAATACGAACAATTACAAGAACAACCAGAATGACAAGCATGACAAGCAAAAGCAAAAATGAAAAGGACTAGTAATAAAAAGGATGACAAAAAGATTATAATTAAAATGACTATGATTAACCAGCCAGTCGCCAACATTTCCGGCCCCTGGTGCAGAGCAGAATCTAAAGTGTGGTGGCTGACTGGTTAGCCGACTGTAATAAAACTAATTTTCGCGTGGGGCGTTTAAGCACTCCTCCTTTAGTGGCTATCTCAGCCACTCTCACAATATTGTCTCTGCCAGTGTGAACCTTAGTGATCCTGCCAAGTGGCCAGAATCCTCGAGGTAACGTTGCATCAGCAACGACAACTACGTCGCCTTCCTTGAAGTGGCATGTGCCTCTACCAGCTGGTCTCCTCAATAAAGTTGGGTAGTATTCATTAATCCACCTGCTCCAGAAGTGATCGGATAGGCGTAGAACATGTCGCCAATCAGCACGTCGCACCAGGTCCGCATCGGAGAGTTCGCCCGTGAGCCAGTTTGCTGATGAAGTGGAGCCGATCAGGAAACTGAATGGGGTAATGGCTTGAGGCGCGTCGTCAGCAGAGGCCACGTATGTCAAAGGCCTTGAGTTGATAAGGCTCTCCGCTTCTAGCAAAAATGTGTTGAAGACCTCTTCTTTTGGGGCCTTGTCTCGAAGTGTGGCTTTCAGTGCAGTCTTGACCGTGCGTACCATGCGTTCCCAAGCGCCTCCGATAAACGGTGCTGCCGGAGGAATGAAGAGCCACGTCACCTTGTCTACCACATGCCACTGGATCATGTTGTTAGCCGAAAAGTCTTGGAGTGGTCGTCCAAAGAGCGCCTTCAGTTCTCTGGCGGCCCCGACGAATGCCGTTCCGTTATCGGATATTATTTTCGAGGGGCTTCCTCTTCTGGCGATGAACCGGCGAAGACTCAACAGCGCGGAATCTGTAGAGAGGCTGGCGACGACTTCTAGATGAAGAGCTCGCGTCACTAGACAGGTGTACAGAGCACAGTATCGTTTCTCTCTTCGGCGCCCTACTGACACTTCAATTGGCCCGAAGTAGTCCAAGCCCACATTGGTGAACGGCCTAGTGCTATGCTCTAACCGTAAATCAGGGAGGTTACCAGTTGGCGGTATCTCTGGCTTCTTCCGCCGTCGAGCACATTCCATGCATTTGGCAGCTACGCTTCTGATAGCTCTTCTACCTCTCAGGATCCAGAAGCGTGTTCGCAACTCATTGAGGACTAGTTCGTGAAAGCCGTGGCTCGCCTTCTGATGATGATGGGTGACCAATAGGCGAACGATGTTGTGGCGATCGTCTAACAAAATCCTGGTCTGTGTTCTGTCTCTGGAGTCCAAAGTGAGGAGACCATCTGTCATCTTCACGGACATGGACGAAAGGCGACTGGATCTTGAAATAGGTTTCGAACTCTTTAAGGCCAAAATTTCATCCTTAAAACTATCCATTTGAGCTTTCTGGAGTAACATACTCTCGGCGTTCATCATGTCAGACGCTAAAATCTCGTGCGGGGAAGAAGAAAGTAATTTTGAATTTGGATTTAATGGGGAACTAATAAGAAGCCGAAACTTTCTCGCGCCTAATAAAACACAGGCGGTAGCCCGCAGTAACCGGAGCCAGGCACTAAATCGAAATGAGTCTGGCACCGGAAGCTCTTGTAGAGGCTCATTTGTGAGAAATCCCACCACTTCCTTAATTTCCGGAAGTGGTGCGACCTCGTTTGAGGTACGTTCTTCTGGCCACTCCTTTTGAGGAAGTAAAAGAAAGGGGGGACCAGCGAACCACCTGTGCGTCGAGTCTAGAAAACTACAATTATTTCGTGTCGCATCGTCTGCGACATTCAAGTGACTGGGAAGCCATCTCCAATCTGAAGGGTGGGAATTTTCAAGGATCTCTCCTACACGATGTGCAACGAATGGCTTATAGCGCCGTGGGTCACCACGCAACCATTTTAATACAGTAGAAGAGTCCGTCCAAAAGGTGGTTGAAGACGGCTTCATTCGATGGCTTTCTTTGATTGTAGACGCTAGACGAAGCGCTATGAGAGCAGCTTGAAGCTCTAAGCGAGGTATAGTGGACGGCTTAAGTGGTGTGACGCGTGCCTTGCCACCTATAAGGGCCAACTTAAGCTGTCCATTACCGAACTCAAAACGGAAGTATCCGACGCAAGCGTATGCCTGTTCACTAGCGTCTGCAAACAAATGTAACTGGGTAGCGATGGGCTGTAAGTTTCCGCACTCAGAACCATACCAGCGAGGAATTCTGATCGAGGTTGCAATCATTATTTCTTTTAGCCAATCAGTATAACAATTTTCATATCTAACCGGAAGCTTCTCATCCCAACTCAGCCCTTCACGCCACATATTTTGAATCATTATACGGCCTTTTATGGTTGCTGGCGTCAAGAGTCCAAGTGGGTCATAAACTTTCATTACATTTGAAAGAACAATGCGTTTACTTAATATTTGGTTTAAGGTACCAATAATCCCTGTACGAAACCCCAAAGTATCATTCAAAGGGTTCCATTTTATTCCTAAAGCGCTAACGTCTGACGGCAATTCAGCCTCAGTACCAGGTTGTGCGTTCAATTCTTTAGGGATGGGACACAATACATTGGCATCGTTTGAGATCCATGACCTCATCTCGAAACAACCTGCCTTGTGTACTGTATAAACATCGGAAATAACTTTAGCAGCTTCGGATGAACAATGAAAACTAGCTATATAATCATCCATATAGTGATTATGAATAATCTCGTGGGTGGCT